ACACTTTATATTGCTTTTGATAAAACCATTGTAAAAAGCGTATTTCAACCTTTAAAAAAGTATTTTAAAAGCGTATTCTCTGCAATCAGTGAATCGTGTGCACATATTGGCCAAGATAGTCAATATTTTAACAAAGTAGTTTTCAGCACATCTCTCGCATGGACTGTTCTTCAGCCATTTACCCTACTAATGCCAGCAGTTCTGATGGCTTCAATTTTAAGATGCACACAAGATACACATCTGCCCACACATCTGCCCATCTGAGGTTGGTGAGAGATTTTGTGAGCCTTTCAAAGGCTTTGGCAAACTCACCGTATTTCCAGCTGGCACCCTTACCATTTGGCATATTAATGCTTTGCAAACGATGTTGTGACCACTCAGGACAGTGGACACTGACAGGACACGTCTGCTTATTTCCATCAAGTATTTTTGGCGTGAGTATTTCCAGCTGGCACCTTTACCATTTGGCATATTAATGCCTTGCAAACGATGTTGTGACCGCTCAGGACAGCGGACACTGGCAGGGCACGTCTGCTTATTTCCATCAAGTATTTTTGTATGGAAGTTACGATCTCAGTTAAAATCATCACCTGCAGTAACACACTAGCTGGGAACAGCTTCAAGGACTTCCTATGGTCTGTTGGGTCAATGTGCAAATTAAATTAGATTTATTTAGTACACAGAGCTTCCTCTGATGCTGTTTTGGTCTGGATTGTTAATTGAGCTGCCTTGCATGTATACATTGTGATTACATGCTACAGTCTGTCCAGAAACACAGTGAAGAAAACCTGAAGTTGATTTCTGAACTGTCTGCTCTCTGGTACATTGGGCAAAGAGTAAACCAACACCAACAAATGCTCATGAAATTCATCTCATGTATGAAATATCACTGCTAATCTCTCTCTGCCCACAGAAAGCTATGACAATTTCAATTCAGAACTCTTAGCAGAATGGGCAAATGTCGCTCTTTTAACCGTACTTGAACAATCATCAAGGTCAACTACACCCTCTCCTCTTTGGGGGCTGCCCACATGAAGAGCTTTGGCCTGCAACTGATGTGCAGTTAACACAATTTATATCTGCACAGGGTGGAAAATACCAATAAAAAGAATCACAATCAAGTGTTAACCAGTAAGCAGAGCTGAGCTAATCACAGTGAAAGGCATTTCTAGCTGGGCTTTAAGCCGATAAAAGAGAAGATGAGTCCCCTTCATGATGAAGAGAACTGCTTGTCCAAGCTTCTCTGAGCTTTCCCTGCTCAGGAAAAGGTCAGGCTTTTAACCAAATCTTACAGCCAGGTAATTCTGTTCCTCTGTCCTTATGACACCTACCCGACCTGTACAGAGCAGCCCTGCATCTCATCCCTATGAACCACTTCCCCTCCATGATCATTTGCTTTCATATCTTCATATATAAACCAGAGTTCGAAAAACCATCCAAGACACATATTTACAATTAATCACTGTTCCTCATTGGAGCTCCCTAAGTCCATCATCAGAAACAGAAATCTGGACCAACCCCTCGTTTGGGAGAAGTGGAGGTTAGCTACAAAAATACAAGACTTCTTATCAGCCACTGCTTTAAGACCGAAACATGGGATAAGAAAATATAAATCAAGACCGATTTATAAATATGAGCAAACATAATCTGATAAAATCTGATAAAAATATGAGCAAGCATAATTTGAAGGTGCAACATTTTGGAGATGGAGCTCCAGCAATCTGACCGGTGACCATTAGATGCGGTTTGCCCTTCCCCGCTTTGCGAACCTACGCTGGTTATTTCCCTGCATTCCCCCCCAGCCCGGCACAAGGCCAGCCACCACCCCGCTCTGGCAGCAGACCACCAACTGACACGGTTTTGTCACTCAGATTTGCAGGGTTTTTTCCCATGCCTGCCCCAGAGATGACTTTGTGCATTCCCTGCCTGTGACGCTACCGATGGCGAGGCTGCAGGAGCAGCCGGCTCCGAGGACGTTTCTCCCCGGGGAAGCCATTCCTGAAAGCTTCACGGACAAGGTCTTGATGATGCAGAGAGTGGCAGCTTTGCCAGGGCCGTGGCTGGGGAGTTCCTGGGATGGGAATCCAGCTCGGCTCTGGAGACATCGCTCGACTCCTACGCCCCACTCACACTCCCACCACAGCAATGGTTTTTGGGTGCTCATCCACCACCTTCTCTTCACGTGACTCTGCAATTCCCAGAAATGGCCATTTATCTCACTTCTGCTTAATAATAATTTTATGAAATGCAAAGAAGTTGCAGCAATAAATCTGGTTGCTGATTTTCTCTTATGTAACTGTATGGAAGCGAGGGCCCATAACCATCCACCGTGTGCCTGTTATCTCTGCCCAGGTCACCGTCTCCACCATCAGAAATACCGGGCAGGAGAAGACACCTCCTTCTCGCGAGCCCTCTGCCCAAACTCCAAAGGAAACAGTAGCTGGGCAGAATCCGCACGGAGGATTGCACAAAACCATGAATCAGGTATCTAGAAACAACTCACTGTAGAAAGACTACCATACGTAGACCAGCAAGACTTCAAAAATAACCAAAATGATTTCTTTTGGACCCCTATCCATACAACAAACTTCAAAACACCACTGGACTGTATCATACACTTTATAACCCTCCACTGACTGCGAAGACATTAACCTACACCGACAGAAAATATTTGCAGGCATTTACTGCAATTCAATACTGAACTTTGCAACTCGAGTATCCACAGCCAAAGCTACAGCCAGGAGAAGGCTCGTCGCTCCTAAAAACATGTCCTGCCTCTTCCTGCTGGCAAATACAATTTTCCTGGATTTAGTCAAGTTTCTGTCATCCACTCAATGTTTTAAAAACATCCCAACATATTGGTAACGTTCGCTTATCACCTCGCATGTAAGTGTGAACACTCCTTAGCAGTGCTATTCCTTAAAGAGTCATTCCTCAACACGGCTCAAACATCTACAAACCGCCACGCCTTCCATTTTTAATCATATCCTTCCATTTGCCACGTGTCTTACCTTGGCTTCTACTTCTAAAATACAGTTTAAGAGGAAGAAAACCTCCCAGACTCTTTGGAAAATAAAAAGGGGAAATAAATAAAAATGAAGACAATTTTACAGGTCCTACTTCAGCTAAACCTTTCAGGGACTTCAATGAGAAGATAATCTTTCTGTGATTATGGCCAAACCCTCTCGTTGCTTAGCAACACATAATTAAGGAATATGTTTTCAGATCCGCTTTGCAAGCTGGCCATTATCAGATGAAATTACTGGAGCAACAAATGTCATCCTCATGCAAATGAGTTGGTCGTAGGCAAAAAAAAAGAGGGCTGAGTAGCGAGAAAGAGCTCAGCAGCAGAGAAACGCTGCCGGCTTCCTCTTGTTGCGCACCGGTAATTCTTTTAAAGGGATGGGATAATATCTACATTTTTAGAGAACAGGGTTTGCAGTTTCCATATGAGACACAGGGAAGGAAGGGTCCATTTCTTGGAGCAGAGGAGACTGCTCCCAAGGCATGTGGTCTGGTGGTCCCTCGCCCCAGGGCTTTCACAGCATCGGAACCGACTGCCTCAATCCGCCTCAAAACCACAAATAAATGAACATATTTGTGTTCCCTGCATTATGCCAGGCTTTTTGCTTTTTTTTTTCAGGCTTTGAGAAATTGTTTATTTAGAAATACTGCCTGGATGTACTGCTTTCGCATCTGATCCGTGTCAACACAGAACGTGTTGCCTAATATTTAAGCTTTTTTTTTTTTTTTAAAAAAAAATCAATACATTACACCAGCTACATAAAGGACACAAAAGCGTGAAAGAAATGGCATCTCCTTCCTAGCTGTGCAATCGTGGTAAGCCAGGGAAAGGGGTGCGCCAAGCGTCTGCATTTTGACAACTTTATCATTTCCACTCCCCAAATCATTCTTTATTTAGATTCCTGTGGAATGGCATCACCAGTTTGGCACCATCTCTATGCCTATAAATGGTAGCCTTTTATTACAGCTTTGTGCGTGTACCCTGGTACGGCACATTGTTCGCCACTTGTTTGCATGGGAGTTCAGCTGAGAAAAATTCCCTGCTCGTAGAATCGCTACCAGGAAAAACATTTCAAGGGATTTTCTTTCCCCGTTTTTCAAACGAGTCAAGCCACAAATGAATGGATTTTCCAAATTTCCTCGTACTTAGCAGCGTGGTTTTGGGGGTTAGTTTCTGTCAGGCTCTGAGTGTTATCATCAATACGTTATTTCCCAAGTGGAGCCTGCTCTGCTTTTCCAGCTTCACATCTGAGGAGCCAAGGGCCTGAGCACTTCTAGAAGGGGAAGGGAAGACCAGGAGCCACCATTCATTTTTATTGTTCTAGTGCTTAATGACAGGCTTTTAGTTTTAAGCACAGACCTATTACTTTAACAGCTATATCGCTTCACTTACAGCCATCTCTAGAAGGAAATCAAGGGGTTTATTTTGTATGCCTGATAAAACAGCAAATTAATAATAAGAAGAAAAGACTTAGGTAATGGCCAAAGGTAAGTCGATTCTCAAATAACACCATTAGCTATCTGATGAATTTAGTCAAAACAATGCTAACCATTTCCTCGGAGAAACACATTTGTGCCTGGTAACAGCGGTAAGAAGTCAATCTGCAGCAAAGCCTGTAGTCCTAATTGCACAGCCAGCGCAGTATCTAATCTCCCGTTCTCTACAAACATCAGGAACAGCAACATTAACCCTGGATGCATTATCTGAGATACTGCCCACTTTTAACTGAAGTTGGCTAAACAAATAAAATATTTGGAATTTAACCGCAGAGCAAGAACCAGCATCTTTAGCTCCCCACAGCCAGTGCAACTCTATGAAGAAATCCCATTTGTCTCCTTTTCTAAATCAGAAAGTGTCTAATTTTTAGGCATGAAACCCCAACATGTGGGGTTTTTTTTAGGGGAGGGGGGCGTAAAGTAAACAACAACAAGGTGGTTCTAAACTACTATATGGGCTAAGACCCTGTGGAAATTACTTGGTTCAGGTGATGCCATGGTGGAGACGATGACGGGGGGCCCCGTGCGCCTGCTGAGCTTCGGGTAGGGGGAGAGCTGGGCAGGGAAGGTGGGTCCGGTGGGTGCCAGGCCGCCGTCCCCCGGTGCTCCCGGCCGGCGCAGGAGCTGTGGGCTGCCGTGAGGGCTGGGTGCCGGTGACGCTGCCGTGGTCCTCTCCCTCTTCATCAGCTCCATGGGCACGGTGTAGGTGGTGGGGTAGGCTGTTTTGGGGCTGGCGTGAGGGTTGGCCGTGGTCGTGGTCATGGCCATGCCAGCCGGAACGGAGTAGGCAGAGGCTGGACGTGGGTGCGTGCTGCAAGGCAGGGGGGTGTTGTATCCAGAACCGGGGAGGAAGGGTGGCCCTTGAGGAGCCCCTGAGGCAGGGTAGGTGGTGGTCTCCAGCAGATGCTGGGTCGGGGCGCTGGATGGCCGGCGGTGCATCTCCCCTGCTCTCGGGGACAGAGGCTGCAGCGGAGGCAGGGGTTGGGGGGCAGCAGGACCATCTGTGGTGGGCCCCGAGCCGAGGGGCACCCCGTAGTCGCCCGGCAGCTCGCTGCGGTGGCTGAAGCTGTTGGAGCGGGTCCTGGGGCGCAGCGCCCCGCTCCTCCGCTCCTGCCTCTGCAGCTGCATTTCGGCCTTGTAGTTGTGGGCGATGCGGGAGAGCACGCGGGCCTGCCCCAGGTTGGGAGCCACCGACTTGATGTCGTTCTCCTCCATCATGGCCAGCAGGTTGGGGGAGTCGAAGCCCTGCTGCATCAGGGCGGCGAAGGTGCTCTCCGAGACGCCCTCCGCACGGAGCAGTGCCACGAATTCGGGGTCAAAGCTCCTCTTCCCCTCTGTCCCGGGGAAGGTGGGGGGCACCGGCGGGTGGGATGGGGTGGCCACCGTTGCCTCGTAGCTGTCGTAAGGGCCCTTAGTGCCAGCGCTCTCCCTGCCTGGTCCATAGCTGCTGCCGGCGCTGCCGGTGGGGTCCACCACCAGGCAGGTGGGGGCGGCCTGCCTGCCCCCCGCCGGCTCGGGGGGCCGCTCCGCCCCGTCGCCGTAGGCCTGTCTGCCGGGGAAGGTGGGGGGCTCTGCTGCGTACCGCGGGCCGGGGGGCTCCACGCCGTACCGCGCCGGGGAGACATCTCTGCCACGCATCCGCTGCCCGTCCAGGGCCATCTTGGGGTCCCTGTAGAGACGGGCAGCCTCCGGTGGGGCGGGCGGACGGACCGGGGCCTGGTCCCAGGACAGTCGGCTGCCGGGCACCCCGTAGCCAGCCAGCGGCCTGCTCACCATGTGGTCACGGTAGCAGCGGGGGTCCTTGGGTGACCTAGCCGAGAGGGACGGGTCGCTGTAGTAATCCTGGGGCGGCAGGGAGCCCCGGCCCGCCATGGCTGCCTGCCGGTCGCAGTAGGTGAAGTCAGGGACGGAGCCTTTCCTGAGGGGCCCCGGGGCGAAGGCGGCATCCTGGTAGGGGTACGCCTCTTGCTTCAGCTCTGCGCCGCCCTGCAAGATGATATCGTTGGCTCGCGGCGGCTCGTACCAGCCGCCCTCGCCGCCGTAGGTCAGGGAGCTCCTCCGGCCCGGCGGCCGTTGGTACTCGAAGGCGTTCTCGTTCTCCCAGTTGCCTTCATACCAGCCGGCGGCGTCCCAGCTCTGCGAGCGGCCGATGTTGGGGTGCTTGCTGGGGATGGGCATCGCCACGAGGCCCTTGGCTCCCGCCGAAACGCAGAAGAGGAGGCGCCTTCCTTCTCACCACTTCTCCGGCGTGCATCAAAACCGGGACCGCGCTCCGCCTGAGCCCTCCCGGGACTTCAGGAACCCCCCTGCCCGGCGGTTTTGCCTTTCAAAGTGTTGCCTGAATTATTAATTCTCTGAAACCTTAGCAGGCGAGGCGCGCCACTGCCGCCCGCTCCGGCTCCAGGTCGGCGGCGGGGAGAGAGCCTTCCCGTGCGGTGCCGCCGCAGAAGAGGGCGGCCGCGCTCGGCCCAGATGCTTTATCCTCTGCCGCTGGGGACGGCGCGCGCACATGGACAACTGGCCCGGCAGTGTGTGCGGGGATTAGGAGCTAAATAAAACCGCTAAAGCCCTCGCTCCATGTGACATCATTTTAGCCCGATGAAATCTCCCGCGCCGACCCAGCCAGCAACCTCAATGCAATTTCTCCCCAGGGAATGATTTTCCCCCCCCTATTTTTTGCACGTTGGGTTTTTAACATGTGTTTTGCCCATTTCAGTTGTCCCCTTCCTCGTGTGTGCGGGGCTCCCGTCCACACCAGCACCCTCCAGGGATCGGCAGCCAGAGAACGGAACGTGCGTGCATCTGCTCGTCCCCACACACGCGCATGTAAAAATAAAAAAGAAAGCTCCAGTGTCAGCTCAATCTTAATCCACCCTGATGAAATGCTAATCCACCGCACACAGCTAAGGACAAATTAAATGGGAGCAAGCAGGCCGGCCTAAAAAAAGGCCAATGCAAGATACTCAAGAATAGAAGAGCGATTAGAAATTAGTTAGGTATCTGTTTAACACTTTATGAATATTGTAATTTGCTTTGGAAATTACATTTTTTGTTGTAGTTTCAAATTAGCTGTACTAACTAGGCTCCAAAAGGATTCTTTACATTATTATCATAATACGCAAATCCTTTCATCATCCCAGGACAGAAAATTGTGGAGGTGTAATCTGGAATGTATAATTTTAAGACCCTAGCAGAGGTCACCGAAGAGGAGGGGAGGATCAAAGGATCTAAAGCCTGGTCTTACAAAGCGAAAAGGAACAGTAGACTTTTGCCTATTATCTCCGTCTTCCTTTGGAAAAACTACATGTTTATGAGATGGGAAAACGCTGAGAAACATCAGACAAAACTCAATTTGTATCTAGCGGTATTTCAATATTCATATGGATTAAGCTTTTTTTTTACACAGAGTAGGCAAAAGGATTTAGATGGAATCACACCACAGAAAATTGTTATTTGGGAATGGAATAAAAATTTCCATATACAGTCACCATTTTCAGAGGAGATATTAAAATAGTCCCTAAAACACATACCTAAGTTATCAGATGCTGCTCAAGCTCAAATATTCCTTTTCAAAGAAGAACAGGTCAGATGTCACTTATTTTGCTAACCACTACAAGTGAAGCAACATTTCCCTTTTTTTAATTAAAAATAAAAAAATAAAAAAATCAGATGGAAAAGATTTTGCCTTCCTCTGCTGTGATCACAAATTTCTTCACCTCCAACACACTCCTTCTAGGATGGACCCAATAAAAGGACTAACAGTCACCTTCCCCAGTCTGCTTGCAAGACAGCTTGCACGTTTTTCCCAGCTAATCCACAATAAATGTTTAGTGCACTACCCATCACGTGATAGACCATTGTGCTATTACGATAGCTAAATCACTAATACAGTCTAATGCTTATACTTGCCTATCATACTAATACCTCTGGGCTATATTTCTGACCCAAATACCGACAGGATCTTTGAGTAATCCCTAAATTTCTTTATTGCAGTAAATATTATAAATCCTCTTCAAACATCCTCTCCTTCAATTCCATCCCCAAGAACCACAGTCTTTAAAATTATGTTGGATATTACACAGACATGCAAAACACGGGCCCCAAAAGATTATTTATGCAATTCTCAGAGAATATCTGATTGGCATCATATTGAATTAACTAACAAACTTAAGGCACATTGGAAAATTTCTTCTTTTGTGAGAGTCAAAACGGGAAGACACATTTGTGGCTTATAAATAAAGCAGAGAACATTTTAACAAACAAAAACATTTTATTACAACAACATTTTGCTAAAGAATAAAATGTATTCCCAACTGGATACAGTAAGATCTGTGCCATTTGTTTGTTCTGAAGCAGCAGAAGAAATGTATATGAAAAAATAATAAAATCCTGTTCTATAGATCAACGGCATCTTCCACCATTGTCTTCAAAGAAAACACTAATGAACATAGCCACCAAGTTAAGCCCTGGTTGACAATGGAAAAAACCACGCCACAGAGAAACTAAATTTAAAAAAGTGCTGATCTTGAACAACTGCAAGGGAAGCCTGAAGGGAGATTTGAGCATTTATTACCTCTGAAAAGAACAAAAGCTTTAATAAGCCCCTGGGTTCGCATGAGGGACACACAAAAGAGACCTCGCCCAAACCAGCAGATCTGTAACTGGTGGCCATGCCCTGCCCGGCTCCAGAGCACACATGGGCGACAGCAGGACCAGAAGATCCATCTCCAAACTGCCTTCAGCCCAAGGGCAGGAGCTCTGAAAACCACCATTGCACCAACCTGCCCTTGCACGGGCACAACCCCGCAGCCCTCGGGCAGGAGGACGTGCTCTCCTCATGCCCACGTGGCAGGAGCCAGGAAACTTTAACTTCAGACCTGCCGCCGGGAACACTCATGCATATGGATGATTTATCCCATAAGCACTGACCTCAATGGAACAAATTAATTATTCCTGCGCTCCAAGCTAAGCAGAGGTAAACACTTGCAGGACCAGGGGCTGCAGGACTCGTACTTTTCTCTGCAGCCATGGGGCAGATGTCATCTTTGGAGGGTTCTGCTCTTCTCGCAGACCAAGAGGGGAAGATGTGCCCAGAAGCCGTGGAGCTGGGCATCCTCCCATTCCACCATGTCACCACAGGAAACGTTACGCCCCCAGTGAATCAAGAATTGAATAAGAAATGATCAGAATTAAATATTTATGGATGGGCGGTAAGGGGTTTTTTTATTTTTCTTTTTTTGGCGCTCTTTAAAGGCAGCTCCTATGCAAATTCCCATAACTCCTTAGCTATTTCTGAATTCAGACCCAGGCAGCAATGGCCGAGAGAGGATGCGGAGGCACCAGGGCACAACCCAACATAACCCACTTCATCTGCACTTCTTGGAAGCGGAGGAGGCACCGGCATTCCTGACATGAGGGGGAGATGAAGGACTATGGGACAGGCGGAAAATCTGTTCTCCCTTTATCTTTTAATTCTAGAGATATTTGGGGGCGGAAAAAAAAAACACACACAAAAGAAAAAAAGAAAAAGCTGATCAAGAGATTAAATGCTCTGGTATTTCAGATCACATGAAAAATGCACAGTTTTGACTTAATACCCCAAGTTTCAGTTTAGCGTTGATCTAATACAGGGTAAATTTTGAAATTTTGCTATGACACAACAACTACAGAAGAAGTCTGCTCTGAAAAAAAAGGTAACGACAGAGTAGAAGAAAGGTGGGCCCTTGTTTTACCACCACTTTCAAAAATGGAGGGCATGAAATCTGGTTCTGGAAACAACTGGCAGTGGGTATGAAACAAATATCCTAGTGCTAGAAAGTGCAGTTTTCTTCCCACAAGGAGAAAGCCTGGTTTACCCATAAAAACCATGATAAGAAATCAAGATGCTAAAGCTGTGACACAACTGTGTAAACAACATTTTTTGGTGGTTGTAGCGCTGACTTGGGGGAGGCTGGATGTGAAATTTAATTCACATTGATTTAAAACATTTCATTTCAAATTCTGAAAGCAAGTTGCTGGAGAAATTACTCTGTGCAACAAAATAGTACAGACTGGTTTTAGTTTTGCTTTTAATTATTGTAAAATACTTTTCAATTACAAGTTCAAATCTTGTTTCTATTGGAAAAAATGATTTTTAATGTTGCAAAATGTTGATGTTTTCTCCCGAATTATTTCCTTGTGGGAGAGAGTGGAACTGAAACAATGTAGTGAATATGCCAAATATCATTTCTGGCAAAAATTGTAAGGTGCATCAGTGTTGGAAAGGCTATTTCACTTTCAAAGGCAACAGAATCCTGCCCCTGGTAGTGAAAAATCCTCTGGAGAACAAATACAGCTCGTGTTAATGGAGAGAGCAGGTATCAGGACACCCAGCCTTTATACCTCACTCTGCCATTGTCAGTGAGTAAATTACTTAATTTCTTACTCGCAGATTCCCCTTCCATCAAGAAGGATATGATAATATAGACCTATCACATTCAGATGGTGTTAAGATTAATCAGTGTTTGTCATATGTTTTCAGGTGACAAGGTACAAAGCTACAAGAGGGATAAACGCTTCTGCCCTCAGTGCCTGGGCTTTCAAGGACCACGTGTGATTGTCCCTAACGACCCCCAAAGCTCAGGAAGGTTTTTCTGAGCATCGTCCTCCCCCGATTAGCTTTGCAGGATGCCGGGGAAGCAGAAATGGTGCTAAACTATACTGGGGGATACAATGGATGCTATGGAGAGGAAAAGGAACAGCGCACACCGTGAGTGATGTGCGTGCGCAAATTAAAGAAAAAAAAATATTAGGAGAAGAAAAGCAGGAAGAAAATGTTCCAAATACTTGAAAATTACTGCATTTGCTAAAATTTGGCTCTGTAAAATCTCTCTCACAGTGGCAATAAGCACTCTGCCTAGATGGACTTTCTAACAGTCTCCTGAAATTAGAGGACTACAAAGAGAAAATTAGCAGGATTGTGCCGGAATCATTTTCAATAATCAAAGGAACAGAACAGCATCTGAAAGCACTCAGCACTTGAAGCCATGCCACATGCTTTTACCAATTTCCAAACCAAAAGCATAGATGCTTTGTAACTTCAACAAAACACTCTCAAATACCAACTTGGTGCGTTAGAACAAAACACCCTTAAGATCAGCCGATTATTAAACAATCATTGCCTCATGTAACTCCGTATT